GGCCGTTGGTCCCGGTTGCATCTGCAGTCGTTAGCACCCGCCATTCCGGACTGGGCCCGCGTGGTGGGTCATGGCCCAATCTTCCTATTCCATCCAAAAGGTGAGGCCTGTGTCCCAGCAGTGAGGACATTAATAGGCTGATGATGGGTTATATAAATACCTATATTTATAGCCATGGAAAAGGATCAAGTGACCAAAACTTTAGATATTCATTTTTATATTAAAATCTTTTTTGCGCACGCCATTCAAGAATGACTTGAAAGATATTTATTTTTAAAGTGCCACTTCTATTAGGGACATCGTCCCAAATTTTTTCTTTCTCCTTTTCATTACGCATTACATTTTAATTGTTTCATGTCGCATTACATTTTAATTGTTATTAAAGGAACAGACCTTATCAACAAGCATCTGTGGTTCAGTGGTACAAAGCTCGCCTATTACGCGGGCATCCCAGCCGAGGAAGGACATTTTTTTAATTATGATTTTAAAAGTTTCTCTGGCATTGTGGTTTCATAATAGCACACCAATTTGTAGGTTCTTTCGAAAAAAATTGAAAGTTACACAGAAAATTAGACAATCTTGAGAAAATTCAAATGTCAACTCTACCTAATACATAGCGTTACTGTAAGTAAGGGTACATAGGGTTTAATGAAAATGATTTTTTGTGTGTTTTACAGTGGCGGAACAAACATCTTTCCGCCATAGGAATCAAACGACTCTAATCCTCTACCACGTCACTCAATCAAACGGTCTCAGGATAATTATATTCAAAAGTTTTGTTTATTATCGACTCCTGGCGATAGATTTGAGAAATATCCCACACAGAATTATGATGAGACAGAATCGCTCACGGAACAATTCATGTTTTGAACAAAGACGACTAAAATAACACCACTGATATTTTACTTACTTATTGTAGTCATGCCACAAGCTTAAACTAAGAGCTGATGCTTGTGAGTACTGCCCTGTTATGGAATCTGTCTCTGTCAATGATGACAGACAGAACGGTGCGATGACACACCTCAGTCATATCATAACACATCAGGTGATAGATTTACGAACCCAAGGCATAGCGTTTGACTTTCAAAAGAGCTTGTAACAGCAAGCTACACTGAATAAATGATTTTGATAAGCTTTCAAATTCGAGCATGTAACAATAAGAACACATTATTGGTTTCAAGTAAACCCTCATAAGGTCGTAATTTTTCAGTGCTCCACATTTTCAGAAAAAGAGACTAGCACTATCATGTTTCCACTATGATTTCCATTCCGCAAGCCACAAGCAAATAACACATACGAACTTCGGCGGCGTAGCCTTCCCACTACGCTGTCCCCAGAGATGGCGACGCGACCATATCATAACGCCATATATCAATGTCATGTGACATTCCCAGTCTGCCGGACCGAATTCTTATCACACGCGAATTTAATGAACGCCTCGGTAATAGATAAATTGAATAATGTGCCCTTAGGGGACGCTCTCTCGATACGAAGCAACGGCGAAAATAGTGAATTTGTTTGAGAGGGTGAGAATTTATCTGACTTCTTTTTTGCAGGTATTTTTAGTCAATGATACCCTCGAAAACAAAATGTTTGAACTAATGTTTAAGGTTGAGGCTCTATAATTATTTAGATGAAAGCTTTGTAAAGGTACTTAGTATAAAGATACATACCAAAAAATCGGTGAAGGAATTCTAACAGGATTCCCACTGCGCGTGAGATAGTGTACGTACACGTACCAACAACAGGTAAATTTTTAAATCAAATAATCTTTTAACTCAAATATTCGTAACTTTTGTTAATTTTATGCTCTACTAGCTTCAAGAACCATAAAATTGGCTATTTCAGACTAATGCTAGATCAATTTTCAGTATTAGGTAAGTGCAACGTTCGTCTTCCATTTAATAAATAAATAACTATTTCCCGAGCGACAATATTCGTCGCCAATGACCTACATAAACAAGTGACAGAAAAAGGGAAACATTTCATTCAGGCTGAGGCTCTTGAGAAAAGTGACGATCATCAAATCCGCCCAAGTGGGGCCCTCTTGTGGGTCGGTAACGATGCGAAGACTAACCTCGAATAGGTCGCTCGAGTGGGTATCGACAACTTTAAATAATTCAGTTGAAAAGAAAATCTGTATTTTTTATATTATGTAGTTATATAACATTACAATACAGTTTTGTCTACATAAATTTAGTGAGAAGGCAATCTTTGTGAATTGTAGTTACTTGTTTTATAACCCCCGACGGAAAAAGAGGGGTATTATAAGTGAGACTTGTTATGTACTTATATATATGTGTGTTTATCTGTGGCATCGTAGCTCCTAAACAAATGTATCGATTTGGATGAGGTTTTTAGGATTTTAATGGAGTTATACTCAATACTTCAATTATTATTAGGTTCATTCCACTTACCGCAAGCCTACACACACTGCCCGCTATCTCAACGCCTCCTCGCATCACCACCCTAAATATCTAAACTCTGTAGTGACTTCAATGACGAATCGTGCATTGACCGTTGTGATGAGAAACACCTCCGCGAAGAGTTGGGGCTTGTACGACGAGTCTCACAGACTAATGGATACAAGGGACACTTTCCATCCAGATACAAACTAAAACACCAGAGACATAGAGTAGACATACAACCCATTTATTTGCTATTATTTCAAAGGAGTGACTGACAAGATCTCATACATACTGAATAAGTACTCACTAAACACTGTCTTCACTCCTTTACGAAAGGATTCACAGTACCTACGGTCTCCTTAAGACAACTTCCCCTTGAAGAAACCTGGTGTCTATAAAATCAATTGCAACTGTGACATTTCTTACTTTGGCCAAGCCAAGCGAACAATAGCGTGCCGAATGAGGGAACTTATAAAAGCAAAGAAGAACAACGATACGCAGAAATCAGCCATCGCGGAACATTAGATTGATTCTGGTTCTAACCACTAGATTGAGTTCCATAACCCACAGATTATCTCGACAGAACGCCACTACATACCAAGATTGGTTAAGAAAGCGATTGAAAACAACACATAAAAATTTCAATGGTGAGGATGCATTTAAATTGTTGAGTGTCTGGAATCCTGTGGTTTGTGTGTGTAAAAACCAGAATAATTAAAAAAGTATCATGTCGCGATCTGATACTGTGAGTGTTGTGTGTTGAGAACAGTTTCGAGTGAATAGTGAGAATGTGAACAGTGGTACGGGTATCGAACGCAAAAAAGACTTCGTCGGAGGGTAGACCGATATGTCTGCCAATAACAGCCTACCCACAATTACAACTGAAGTCAGTTACTCCGTAATCAAAGCGCTTGTAAAAGTGCCGAAATATTGGAAACTCGCTTAAAACAAGATACATGTCTATAATCTCGTAAATAACATGAATAACTTTAAAAATTTCCTTGCTTCTATTGCTAAGGGTTGCAACTAACAGCTTCTGTTCCTAATTCCCTCTGTTCCATCTCATAAGCCAAACTAGACATCTATTTTTTTAGATAAAAGATATCTTTCACAGACGTATTAACTGTTCTAGACATAGCTGGAATTTTCTTTTTTCTTCATAAACGTCGATTATTTAATTAAGAAATAAGTTTTATAGAGTTTTCATTTGTACAAATTAGTTTGGGCTTTTATAATTAAACCCACGAGAAACCTTAAAATTGACTTTCCTCCAACAAAAATCTATCTAGTACATAGGTATAGTATTTAGTAGAGTAGGTAAACGAGAAGTATTTTTATTTTAAGTGTGAATTTAGTAGCTTTCAAATAGATATTTTTCTTAAATAATACTTTATTTTAAAAACTACTTTAAAAACAATCCAACTGTGTTGTCTTTTTTTCTTTTAATTGAAATTATTAGCAGAAAACATAATTAAAACTACAAAATATACTGTTCCAACAGAATACTTTATGCTTTAAAACAAAATAAACTTTAAACAAATAATGATCATTTAATTTTATAAAGATATAATATATGAAAATCTATTGGATCTAAAATAAATGTAGGTATGTAAATACCTACTATCATAGTTCATAACTTGTTTGTTAAGCAAAACCAAGTATTAATTTAAGTTACTTACCTAATTTAGAAACTTCCTTCAATAATAAAAGTTTAAGTTTAGTTTCTCTAAAGTATTCACACGAAATTCTATGAAGACTAAATAATTATTACTATCAAACTACATGTTTACATCTAAGAACTTTACATCGCACGAGAACTAGAAGAAAGACAGTTTTGAATTTTCATTTTACGTTCGAAACTTAACGCGAGTAGCGCCCAACGTCCGAACCGCTACCCTTACCGACGCCAAAGGTGATACTGAGGCATGCCTGTGTCAAACATACCCACAAACAGTTACCCTGTGTTCCTTTTCTTGTGTACGTTGCGCAAATCTGCGGGGAAAGCGTTTCCACGTGGTTGGTCACATTTTGCTCACTTTGTCCCTAGCGACATCTATTGGGTGGATGAAGAACCATTTAATCGAGAGCTACCACTAAACGCAATTTATTGGTTTAAGATTTGCAGGCAACAAATGATTTTCTAAAGTTGTTATAAAAGTTTATGAGAGTTCTTTAATTATTATTTTTAACAATATTACTAATCAAACGTGTAGTTTCTAAACGCAATTCTTTATCGCTAAGTACTCCAAGACTACGTTCCAAACCTACTCTCCAGGTGTAACATATGTCAAGTTTGACAGAAGTACTATACAACATTCTCTAAACTTAAAACTAAATTTAACATCAGTCTTAACTCAGTCAATTAACTCCTTTTCATTCTGTATAGAGAATGACATGGATGCACTGTTGTCAAATTTAAGTTTAGGCTTAGAGAACCCTAACAGAATCTACACTTTAAACGTCAGGGTAAAAAGTCAATTAGAGCGTAGATTTGGAACGCACCTCAGTCCAATGCGCCACGGCGCCGGCGCGAAGATGTGTCATAACGTCACACTTGACAGCTATCATCTGTCAGATTAAGTTCTGGAAAAGTGTACACGATTGGAAACTGACACGCTTTCAATACAGTTTTATCGTGGAAAATACAATTACTTTATTTATTTTATTAATAAGCGTCCCTTCCTTTATTCTTTATACTGCGAAATTATAAACAAAAGCGAAGATGAGTACTATACTGGACAAAATAGCCGCTATAGAGTCGGAGGTTAGTACAGGTTATAATTTTAATAAAATCCCTTTTAATTCTAAAGGTTTTCTCAAAATTTCGTTTGATATTCTTCGGGCACCTTAATTCAAGAGTAACTCTCAAGATTACAATTTATTATCTCCTTCTTTTGTGTGATGAAACATAAAATGCATTACAGATGGCCCGCACTCAAAAAAATAAAGCGACAGCGCTTCACTTAGGCATACTTAAAGCCAGGTTGGCTAAATTACGTCGTGAATTGATCACACCCAAAGGTGGCGGTGGAGCTACTGGCGAAGGTAAAATAATCAACTCTTTATTTCTTATCAGAGATATAATTATAAACATCTTATAGAGTGCTTCTGTTTAATATTATGATGATTTAAATAACAGGGAAAAGCTAAAGAGTACAACTCAATCACTCAGTACTGAAACAAAATTAAAATTATTTAGAAGCCAGCCACACTCATAGATGTTTATTCAGTTTTAGTTTAATTAAGTCAGTCTTTTGGTAATATGTGTCTTTTAGTACTTTTATGTTATTAAAATATAGTATTGCAGTCTAATGTGCTTAATTATTTGCTATTAAAGTCATTTTTTTAAGTGAGAATACTTGAATATTTCCATAGTCAGTAATAGTTTTTGTATATATCAACATACTTAAATTACATAAAATGCAACGACTCTAATGTTTCCAGGTTTCGATGTTGCTAAAACTGGTGATGCACGTATTGGGTTTGTAGGTTTCCCGTCAGTGGGGAAATCTACTCTTCTATCCAATCTGGCAGGTGTATATTCCGAAGTTGCAGCATATGAGTTCACAACACTCACAACAGTTCCAGGCTGTATTAAATATAAGGGTGCGAAGATTCAGGTAATTTTGATAATGTAAATACAGAGAGACATATTGCAGAGTGTATGGAGCATTGGAGAGCCTATGACATTATTAGATAAATATACCTTTGTGATTTTGTCGAAATACTTGACTAAACCTAAGATTTGATTACAATAAGATTATTTGAACTTCATTATAAGCAATGATAATATTATGATGCTGTTATAAAGGCACCTTTATACAGTCAAAACAATATTTTGAATTTAAAGTATCTTAGTACTGCAATGAACATATTAAAATATAATCTCAATAAGTCCTTTGTCCATCAGAAGGCATGTTAAATCATTGGTCTTCTTTATAGTTAGCACCTACTAATCTGCACTGGGCCTATCCATCAGAAGGCCTATGCTCCGTAAAATGAGAATGTTATGCATTTGATGCTTATACATGTAAGGAGTTTTAGTAACAGATCTTGGTTTTTACATTTTGGTCTAGGTATTCCTTTGATTCTGGGGGTCTTACCAGACTAGTGACATTGGATGAAACATTGTCATTAGATGAGTTGTTTCATCTAAATGGTCATTTTACACATTCTCATACAAATTCCTAAAATTTAGGCTCTCATTTTCTATTATGTTTCATAAAAATGTTGTTTTGTGATTTGAAATGTTCCTTACATGAACCATGTATTTGCTATTTTCAACAATCTCGCTATTTTCGCCTCCTTGTCTTTAATATATTGTCTCAACGATTATGAATTAATCAAAATCATAATTAGTAAAATCTTATTTTAGCTCCTTGATCTCCCCGGTATTATTGAAGGCGCTAAAGACGGCAAGGGTCGAGGTCGTCAAGTAATTGCAGTCGCTCGAACGTGCAGCTTAGTGTTCATCGTATTGGACGTCCTCAAACCGCTGCAGCATAAGAAACTTCTAGAACACGAGTTGGAGGGCTTCGGTCTACGGTTAAACAAACAACCACCAAACATACACTTCAGGAAAAAAGATAAAGGTGGCATCAATTTGAACACAACTGTGAGTGTAGTTCTTAGTTCTAGATACCAACCCGACAGCTGATGTGTATTCAACATTTTTAATAAATACAAATAAAATGTACTATACTGTGTTTATAAGTGTAATAACAATCTGCCAAACAACAATCATAACTATTTTTTTTTTGTAAATATTATAAATATAAAAGTATAGAGCTAGATAAATAGAAAGCAGAATAATGTTCTGGGTCCTTTGAATACAAGTAAAGTTAAACCAAAGGCATATATATCTATAATATGAAGGGCACACTTATCATTCTTTACCTTTGGATAATATTTGGCAACCCTTAACAGAGCTCTGCAATCCTACACTCACTTACTCACTACATGATAAGATTACCTGAAATAATAAATAATTTCTTTGAGTACATTTGGATCCCTTAAAATGTTGTGAACAGTGGCATTCTACATTAAAAAAAGAAGCTGTTCCCTAAACAACCCCTAAAAGCATGAAGAACGCTTTCTGTACATTGGCTTAAAGTACATAACATTTTTATTGTTACATTCTAGTTAAAATTAATTTTTTTTAATTGTCCTGTCAAAGAATACCTATACTTCTCATTTTATTGTGTGTATAGTTTTGTCAAAAAGTCATCGTCATACTACTATGCAGGTAATGTTTATTTCATTGATTTTGTATTATAGTTATAATGCATTATAAAAATACTAGCTGACTCGGCGAACTTCGTACCGCCCAAAAGTAATAATTTGCAATAAATTAAAATTGCGACTATAATTTGAGATTTAAACTATCCTATCTCTCAAGTTGGATCGAACTGCACATGGTGTGCGAATTTTATTATAATCGGTTCAGTGGTTTAGCAGTCCATTGAGGACAAACATTGTGACACGAGATTTATATATATTAAGATAAGCTTTCTGCACTCCTTTTCCATATAAACTTATAATGTGTAAAATCACACACTCGTCATAATATGCACATATTATGTTTTCCTTTGCATACTAATGATCGATTTTAATTGATAATTTCAGTGCACGCAATCAGAATTAGACCTGGAGACAGTAAAGACCATCCTATCGGAGTACAAGATACACAATGCTGACATCACTCTCCGATACGACGCGAACAGCGACGACCTAATCGACGTCATAGAAGGCAATAGAATATACGTGCCTTGTATTTATTTATTGAACAAAATCGGTAAGTAGCTAATAAAAGTGTAGAATTTTGTCAGTCCTTTGTGAATTTTATTTCAAACAAAATGAATCTTTAAAGGTGTGCGGTACATAATTTTTGTTATCTTCGATTGCCTTTAGAGCAGCTCCGGTCTGCCTGTATTTCCGTAAGTTTCCCGGATGTTGTGGGAATGTCATATGAAATTAGGCCTCATTGTCCTTGCGTAATCTCGATCTCGATTTTTCTTTGTTGAACAACGTTGCAACGAAGTACGAACAACGAGCAAGTTGAACAACTGTCGCGCGAAACTAGATAATTTGTATCGGCGCTTTACCGAAGTCGAACGATCACTATGGCGGCGTAGTAGTTACAGAAAGCTCTACCCTCGTATTACAATAAAAAATCGTCCAAGGGATAGGAAATGATGGGTAAACAGATGTAAAGTTACGTTATAATAACCAACGCATTTAATATATTTGATACCGAACAAAAGGTATTGTAAATTTTTATAATTTTGGATAATTTAGCAGGTGACTGTACATTTTTCATTTTTAACCGACTTCCGAAAGGGGGTTCTCAAATTTTTTTGATGTGTAACATCATTTCTCTCGCTTTCCTGCAGTTTGTGGGAGTGATTTCGTGAAATGGACGGAAGTGTGTAACAGGAAGTCGCGAAAGCTCGCGCTATTTGATTTGATTTTAGAACAATGTTCAAATGGCTTATTCCATTTGTAGTAGGTATTATTGATGTGTAATATCTTTCCTCTCGCTTTCCTACAATTTGTGGGAGTGATTTCGTGAAATAGGACGGAAGTGTGTAATAGGAAGTCGCGAGAACGCCCGTATTTAATTATTCCTTATGTGCTAGGTTTTATTTCTTTTTTTACTAATATAAGGTCAGGTTTCAAATGTACATCACACATCATATGCACTACTGTAAGGCTCGCTTTTTTTTTATTGTGTTTCGCGCATATTTCCTAGATTTGTTGACCGATATTATTACCAGACAGCAGACCAGACATTTTCTTTACATTGTAACATCTAGCAATAAAATTCTTAAAATTAAATAATATAGATAAGAACTATATATAAAAAAAAACAACTTTGTAAAACAAGACCACTAAAAATTAATTAATTAATTTGGAGTTGGTGCCTATACTACTTGCGTTAGCATAGCACCGACACCAAATATTAATTTGACTTTTAAGTTACTTTACACTTAAGTACAGAAAATGTATTTCTATAAATTTTCATGGTTTTGTTTTTATGAAGTCAGCTTTTATTTTTTGTTGAAAATTTATTTTAGAAACTTATGTAGGAAGTTTCATGTTCAGAGAGTCATCGCAGAATCAGACTCACTGAATTAGAATGTTAATCTATATTGTTCCTTTTTATAGTAAATGCATTTGCATTCTTTATTCTTATTAGTTAATCAATCTATAGCATCAACACACAACAGAACAGTCTAGCAAAATTAATGTTGCAAATCGCAGTTATCTGGTGTACCAGTTATTTTAACGTTTAGACTGTATGTCACTTGACATCTCAGGATTTGTCTGGACATGGTGGACACTTGTTTACATGTAATATCGTCATTGACTATTTTCTGTTTTCATTTGCCAATTTTTACTTAATTTCATCATATTTCATTTATTATTTTACTTTCTTCCACAGATCAGATCAGCATAGAAGAACTAGATGTCATTTACAAAATCCCTCACTGCGTCCCAATATCGGCACATCACAAATGGAACTTTGACGACCTATTGGAGAAAATGTGGGAATACTTGAAACTCATCAGGATATACACGAAGCCCAAAGGACAACTGCCCGATTACAATGCTCCTGTGGTGTTACACGCTGATAGGACTTCTGTTGAAGATTTCTGTAATAAACTGCATAGATCGATTGTTAAAGAGTTCAAATAGTGAGTATATTTATGTAACAATAGATTCTGTCCGCGAATTCGTAATAAATAATAATATATAAATAAATATTTCGAACACTCACACCAATTAGCCTAGCTCCAAAGAAAGCACTGTAGGTACGTGTTGTAGGATACTAGGGTAACAGATAGAATACATTTACTGTACATATATAAGTATATTTTTATAGAAATACATGTTAAACATCCGTGACTGGAGTACAAATGCTTGTATTCATTATACAAACATGCAATTGTCACCACCGGGATCTAAACCCTTTTTTCTTTCTTTCTTTCTATGACTATTCAGAAAATACTTTCTATTTTACAGTGCTTTAGTGTGGGGCTCATCGGTGAAGCATCAGCCTCAGAAAGTGGGTATCGATCATATATTGGCAGATGAAGATGTCGTGCAAATTGTGAAGAAAGTATAAAACTAACTATCAACTAACAGAAAAGTATATTTTTATGAATGAAAAGTATAACTAAAGTTTTGAGTATCTGGAAAAGATTTTCGAATGGTTTCATTGAAATCTGTTATAATCGTTATTTAAGTTCAATAATGTTTAATTAACATTTTATTTGGGTAAATATGCATTATTCTTTTATATTTCTTGATCTGTAGTCAGTGTTGTAAATATATTTCGAAATTATTTAAGTAAAGTTGAAACACAACCTGTTCAAATTTCAAAAATTTGGCATATGTGCTTCTATGAAATGATATTAAAATTACTGCAAACCTTTACTTATTGAAATAATTTGTGATTAACAATATTCAAAGAAACCAATGATAAAATATTCTTCAGATACTTTTTTGAAGTTGTTATTGTTAGAAATGTGACATTAAAATCATATTATATGCAATTAGTTTTAAAATCCTCAGCATTTACCTTAATTCTAGCCACGAAACGATTATCATAATAATTGTGAAGAATATTTGTGTTTTACGTTTTTTATCTTAACATTTTGGCTTAATGCATTCAATTCTTGATATTTTTTGAATGCATCATATGTTGAAATTCACTCAAGTTTACAGGTTTTTTATCGTTACCTTTTAAAAGAGAAAGGTTTTTTTTCTAAGCTTTGTTGATTGTAACAGAATAGTGCTTGATTTTTTTTAAAGATTATTCAGGATATTATAAGCTTAAATGACATAAATGAAATAGTCAACAGGATAAAGGCTCAGACACCTAAGATAAGTTAGAAAATTGATTGACACTCCATCATATCGAACCGTACAAAACCTATCCTTTGTATGAAATTCTATGCTGTAGCTGCGTTCAGTTTGTGTCTTTTCAATCTTTTTAGTCTGAATCCTTCGTTTATTACATCCAGAGTAAATCTGAAGCGTTCGGTAATTCCGCTCAGATCAATCTGATGTAAATCTGTTTGTTCGGAGTATTTTTACCGACGAGAAAGATTAATCTGTGATCTGTCAGGTTTGTTTCTGTAGGTTAGTAATTAATCTACGGATGGTCGGGCCGTTCGGTAATGGCAATTTGTTTAGATTAATCTGTGATCACGTGCCCAAAAATCATAGAGGTATAAGAATAGAGTAGGGGAGATATAGACTCTACTACAAGTGGAAGTGCTTTCTCTCTCTAATTGCGCATGCGCATTGGCAACCGTAAGCATCATACTATTTCGATGTGATGCCATTGGATGCCATGCGTCACTAGAAAGAGAGATAGCTAGCGGTCTCTCATCTTCTTTCTCTTTCTACTAGACGGACACATTTAGAGTTGCCTTCCCCACTCTATTCTTATACCTCTATGGCCCTAATTCAGTCCTCTGCGATGCAAATACCGAACTTTTATTGCATACTAAAGGTGCGTTCAGACTACGCTATACTAGTGCGTTATATATAGTAAAGCGCGTATAGCAAGCCCTTTATAATGTTGTATAGCCTGATGTGAAAGTGTCTTATATATACGTATAATACACGATATCGTACTTTGAACTATAATAATATATATATAATCATCAAAAGAGTCTAAGCAACATGAACTTTTTGAAGTGAAACTTCTGAAACTTCTTTTCGAAATGAGTGAGTGAGTATGCCTTACGCACGGCATAATGTAAGGTTATTTAAGAAATGAAGTTTCACTTCAGATGTGTGGTCCGTGCACACATTTTTTTTATTTAAATGTATGTATCTATTGCCTGGGGCAAATATCTGTAATGATGGATATAAGTATTTGGATATAAATAAATAAACTTTTGACTGATTATAAATATTTTAATACTTTGTTCTTCTGTTAATTATAAATATTTTAACACTTTTACTCTTCTGTTAATATTAACCAATTTGATTTATAAGTGACTTAAGTAAAAATACCTTTGTATAAATCTTACATTTCATAAGATTTGATGAGTGTAGTATAGCATAGTCTAAACGCACAATGACAGTTCGAGAGGCGTCGAATAATCTACGCGGTGAGCACAAACATTCTCTGTTTACATGGAAGAAGATAGCGTTTTGATCCCTAGAGACTCAAAAATATTTTAATTAGGAATATATATTGTTAGTAAGAGTTCCGATCACTAAAGAGATCAATCACTAAAATTTTACTATTCTAAATTCCTTTGCTCCGCTCTGGATTATAAAAAAACATGCGCGTCTCGGGACGCACGACAGAATTGATAATTTAAACTAATCTAAGCGGCGCGGCGGGAGAGTGAGAGACGTGGAGCCTGCCTATCGCTGCCGTATGCGTGATAGGAAGGGAAGCCAGACTGGCGCCGTAACGCGTTACGTAACGAAGCGGTTTACCCTCCCATAAGAAGTTATCACTTCAAAAAAAGACTCGCCTTTAAAATGTTCTTTGCTCCATTAGTAATTAATCTACTATTTGCATAATGGTTGACGGCTGAAGAACGGGGAGGTGATAGCGGATAAGAGATACGATGCTGATCTATTTCCAATTGGTTATTTTAAATGTCTAAAAGTAAATACAACCGGCGTCAAATCATAATAATTACCTATGAGTTGCAATTTTTTTATTGTTTAGAATTTGACACTAACTGTACACTGTTTTTTTTGTAAGGTATACACATTAGGGTTGTTTTACAATGTTGTACAGAATGCTCATTAAAGTTGTAAAAGCTTTAGACATGGTTTTATTTATTAACTCAATGCACCACATTATTACTTGTCTTACTTTGAGAAAAATTGTTTGATGTTTGCTCTTTCCTATGATTGTCTGCCGTTTTATTGACTCTGCACGTTCTTTCCGGTTGACTGGTAGAGAATGCCATGCTGGCATTAAGTCCGCCATATGCAATGTAAAGGCATTAAAGATTAATTAAATAAATAAATAAATAAAAATACAAACAACACTAAGGCCTGTATTATAAAAGATTCTCAGTGATTGATCTAGTTTTGAGCATAGTTAGAAAGGGATGTCGCTATATGCAGCACATAGCGACATTTCTTTCTAACTGTACACAAGTAAAGATCGACACTTAGTTGTCATTCTGTAATACGGGCCTAAGATCCTCACATCCCATCTGTGTCAGATTTAGCAGAAGTAGTGGATGCACCATTATGTTTTTTATTGTAGTATGGATCAGGCCGTCGTCAGTTCTAACAAAATAAATTGGGCGTGCCTTTTGTGACAACTGTCAGATAAAAAATTCTATCCTGCTAAAACAAAATATTAAGTCTACACTTAGTTGCTTAACTCTGTTATTTTTTTATTTTAGTCAGGTTTTACTTAAAAATTTATATTGATATGTTGGTATTCTGCAAAAAACAAAATGTCTTCCTTCATATATCACGTTGAAATAAAATATTGTTTTCAAAGAATTTATTGTAATTAGGATTGCGTATGTGAACTAATTATAATGTGTGGAAAGACCCTGCGAAAATGTGAAATTTGTAGCTTGAGGAGTGAGCATAAATCTATCTCTGATATATTTTTTGCCAGATTCCCACTACACCTAGAGCGTAACAGGTAATTAAATTTTGTTATTAAATGCTCATAAAGTTGTTTTTATTTTGGATATATGAATATAGTTGGAGTTACGGATAGGGTCCGCAGGACTTCACTTCGGCTTTTAGGACTAAGAAATCAACGATACGATACGATTCTCAGTATCCGAAGCGCACGCAGCGCATACTTGCATTACAATTTGCTGAAGAAAATATTGAAACATTTTCAAGTTCCTTATTTGCATGCTCCGAAACGAGCGGCTGTAGCAGAGTTCGAGCGCAGGCTTCAACTTTAACTACTCCGTTCAGTTATCACTGAGAAGTTACAATGAAATAATCACCCGAAACCACCCTCGACATGCCTTCAACACAATAAACAACGAAAAGAAAATTAAAAGTATGGCTGTATGATCTTAGCTATATTTTTCCTTTATATTAACTAACAAAACAAAAACGAAACAAAAAAAAATAGTTTCCAAGTTTAAAAAACAAAGGGTTTTGGCGGGATTTGATCGAGTGCTGTCATAATTTAATTATTCTTAAATTCGTTCATAGTGGATAGTGTGAAATAAAATTGGTGTGATGTTGTGTTATAACCGTCTGAAGAATTAGTGGAATCTTTAAAATATACGCTATTCCGGTCACGTAAAAAAAATATTGTAGTGTTGACCACACAGAAGCTTATCGAAAAAGCCAACTCGATATATTTCGTGCCTAACATTCCAATAAACATAAAAATGCGTCACACTGATATTCTAATATAAAAAAAAAGAAGATTAATATAACTAAAGACTAGACTGTATGGATATTGTTCCCTTTGCCTTCCTTAAAAAGAGAATCTTAAAAAAAACATAGTCATAACAATTTTGAGGTTATGTTGTTTGTTTGCCGCAGATTTTTTTTGTTGTCTCAAATTCGTTCGGACCGGCTCACCTATATTTTCACTAACTGCCTATCTTTTTTATTAAATGTACGACAGGAAGAATTTATCATTTTATAAAGTTTCTTAATATATAAGCGCTAAAGTCCTACCGAATTAAAAGTTTGATGTGATGGAGTGTTTGTTTTAGTGTAATCCAAGTTCCAAATAAGAACAACTTGGATATACTGGTTTTTATTTTAAAATAATATAACATGAGCTTTGAAAATTTATCACGGAATCAGGTTTGTTTGGCATAGTTTAAAGTAGAATACCTTTTCTGAGACCTTTTCATTATTATTTGTTGCAAGAAGCGCCATCTCTTCCATGAAGTGCGAAACTCCAAAACGAAAAGCTCTAACACTCGACTGCTTCTATTTTATTAAAGCATAATTTGCGCTACTTAAAGTAAAAACTTAATATCTATCATTTGAAATAGATGGCGTTGTACGATGTTTTTAAAATTTTCAGAAGATTCGTGCAACGCTGCACCGTGATGTACGAGTCCTATGTTCTGAAACTTGTCATTTCCTGGGTTTGGAGATAACAAAGCCAGCAATGGAAATAATATCGGAATTGGTGTATAGAAATATCTGCTTATATGGATCTGATTTAGAGTCTTTTGCTAAGTAAGTGTACTGCTAACTGTTACTTGTATGGAACATGACAAGGAATAATAAATAAATATTTTCCAACACACACCAATCAGCCTAGCCCCAAAGTAAGCACTGTAAGCTTGTGTTATGGGATGATAGGGTAACGGATAGAATACATACACTGATACCTATATAAGTTTATTTATATAAAAATAAATATTTAACATCCATGACTGGAGTAAATATACTCTCGTCACCTTGAAACGAGACGTACAAACCACTCAGCCACGGAGGTCGTCATTGATACACAATGATCACACTAATATTATAAACGCGAAAGTTTGTAAGTGTATATGTTTGTTACTTCTTTACGTTTAAGCGGCTGAAGCGTTTTGGTATGGAGTTAGCGTACACCCTGGATTAACACAAAGGCTACTTTTTACTGCCGGAAAATATTTTATTTCCATGGGAAAATTGATAAAAATAAATTTTCCCTAAAAATCCGCTGGTAACACTGGGGCACTGGTGGTATTTATTTATGTAGCCGCAAACTTTTTGAGCAAAATCACTGACAAATAAACTTGCGACTTCCTTGTCTCTGGTATGTGCCGGTGTGACCTATACTTACTACTGGGTACAGTTGTGGCAGTTGGTCATCTACTTCTATCTCCTTTCTAGGCACGCGAAACGTTCTACTATCAATGCGGAAGATGTTAAGTTGCTGGTTCGTCGGAATCCTTCATTGGTATGTAGTTTTTAAACGCATGGGAGGGATGGGATACAATGACTCGCTTTATAATAACCGACCGCCATAGTCTATAAAAGCTTGCGATAACTAGGGTTATTAACTTTTTTTCTATGTAGTAAACTAAATATAGTAGTTTCAAAGGTGACCTTTAAAAAAATAGGTGACAGAAAATAATAATAATTAGTTAGAATATTTACTTTATTATTTTCAATGAATATTCTTTGCTGATCTGCGCCATGGTAAATAATATTATTTATTTTTAAGAAAGATTTTGACTGGTAAAAGTCAGCTTTACGCAAAATTATAGTGTTTGGCCTGGTATATTTTTTTTTCAGGAACATATTTATTTGATACTTTAATACAGTAGGATACTATATTATATAGTAAGTTTGTCAACCCTAGCGATAGCGTACTGACCACCTACTCTACTACTAGCATACCTGATACGTATTTAGTCGCGCGTTGTCTAAAAACAATTCCATTCTCAACCCCGAAGAATTCTGGAACCTGCAACCTAAATCACCTAGACACAACAGTCACAATCACAACACTCCAAAAGTAATGTTATATAAAAGAAAAAAATACTAGACAAAATTCCACGCGTCCCAGGCAACAGACGGGACACGAACCTGCACCCTCCGATTTTTTTCTAGTAAAATTTTCTTTAGATTTAAACATCTAGCAGTCATATTATAATTTACTGTGGTCACATGTAAGGTGGGGGTAATCTTCCCAGTTGGACGCTCCTCTATGAGCGGGAAATCCGTTGTCTCTCATAAAACCCAAACAATATTGCATTCGTAGTAATTACAAAGATTTTTTTAAGCTCACTTTGTCCTGTCCATCAAAAAAGCGTATTACCTTGCATGTCGCCACAGCTTCTTCGTAAATCGACTGCATTCGTAGGATGTAGGTAGGGTGGGTAAGTAAATTATCTTATAGGTAGGCGAATTCTTAAATCGCAATGTTTTTTAAATACAGTCCTTAAACTGCAGTCATATGTCATATGAGGAGCTCGATGGCGCCAGTGATTAGCGCGTTCGGCTGCGATCGTTGAACTTAAGCAACTTTCACAGTGGTCGGTCATTGGATGGGTGACCAAAGATTACTATCTCGAGCTCCTCCGTGCTTAGGAAGGCACGTTCAGCCGTTGGTCCCGACTGCATCTGCAGTCGTTAGCACCCGCCAATCCGCACTGGGCCCGCGTGGTGGGTCATGACCCGATTACCCTATTCCATTCATAGCCCCAGCAGTGGGGACATTAATAGGCTGATGATGATGGTGTCATAAAAGATGAAATATATAAAATTAAAAATGACATCTTCGTTCTCTTTTTGATAAAATAAAAGCGAAAGGACACACGTCTTTCAAGAAAACGCAAGGACGCAACGTACTTACGTCGTGTCAACTTAGAATGAACTTTAGGAAACGATAAAATTAAACATCTAGGATTTTTTTAAGATAAAATTCTTTAGCGGCGTTGTACACTTTTTTTACATTTTAACAACTAGCAGTTTAATTTTTAATATAAATATAATAAACGGAAAAAAATAATGTTAGAGAAAGAAATGATTGCACCGAAATTTGTATATTGCTTGCTGCAGTCTCCGAATTCGCATTAAACTAAGCAGCGCCTCTACCGGACGTAAGAACAAACTGACTCATTCCATAAAAAAATTGACGATGACGATACGATTACATACCTGTCAATGTTCGTGCTTGGGGTACTGCACACAACGATATTAAATACCCTAGATACACCAACACGAACAAAATCGTGCCCGAAACCTGTCCAAAAGGTACATTGGACGATCCACGGAGCTCCGTAAGATGATCGCGAAGTCAAAAACAATATAAGGCATTATTTATTTTAAACATTGCAAGTCACCTTTAATGCATACTGTATAAGGTCGAATTAAAACGCAAGAGTTATGACAGTTCGAAATGCAAACTTGAGCGAACGACGGTTTAGACTATCTTTATATATATAATTCTTCTGTGAGTGTGTATGTCACTGAACTTCTCTTAAACGACTGGACCGATTTTGATGAATTTTTTTGTGTGTGTTCAAGGGGATCTGAGAATGGTTTAGATTCACAATTTTGTCCACTGGACAACCACTATTTTTTTAGGGCGGTACGAAGTTCGCTGGGTCAGCTAGTGTATTTTAAAGCTCATTGCACAAGCTTGGGCCTTTGAACATTGCCTGTCACATATTTCACATCAAAACCTATGATTAAATAGCTACTTCGGTTTACAATTGCGTTGCGTCTGGCATGGTTTTCTAAACTTAAATCTAAATTTAACTTCAGTCTCTTCTTTTCATTCTGTATAGACTATGACAAGGATCTACTATTGTAAAATTAAGGTTAAGGTTTTAAGAATATTAATATTCTCTAAGAATTATACCAGAATCGACGCCAATGAGAATCCTATCCTACTTCATATTAATATTATAAATGCAACAGTTTGTATTGATGTGTGGATGATCATTTCTCTTTCACGCTAAAACGGCTGATCGGATTTAGATGAAATTTGGCATAAGTAATAATAGTTTACCTAGATTGCCATATAGGATACATGTTATCGCGGAAAACTGTAAAATTCCTGTGAGATTCTCAAAAAACTAACTATAATGCGGACGAAGTCGTGGGCGGAAACTAGTTATAACATAGTACAAGACTACTAGAGGCTACTTTCTAGACGGATGCTTAAAATCGTGTGACTATGTTCATAGAGAATTATGTTTCCCAAATATATATATAATCCCGACGACCAATGAATTTGCGAATCATTATGGCTTGCGCAGACGAGGTACTTTAGTTCGCGAACTTTTTTCTCCACGAGCATAGGTCGCCTACAACTGCATTGTGTAACGTACATGAGGAATTAAAAGTACCGCGTACAAATAGTCCCCCGAACAATCGAGGACGCCGAGAGACCGGACTGGAGAAATATACGCGGGTGTCCCTGAAAAAAATAAAACTCGATGTTTCTAGGCCCAGCAATGCGCGCTCGTTCCGATTTAACCGTGTAAATGGAGAATACTAGTATTATCTTTTAAAACGTCTTTTCCTTTCTTAAACTTCATGTTAATATTACGCAACGTTATCTCAGAATATTTGCTCCCATAGCAGGCGCTTCTCTAAATTATAGTTTTTTTTCTGAGTGTTAATGCTGTTCATCGCAGATGATCTTTAAAGCTTCATCGGGTTTGGGGACGGCGAGATCCTAAAGGGACCTCAAGCCGAGAATTGGCGAGTGCCTCTAGAGGTATTCCAGGCGGATGGCATCTCCCCACGGGGGGAGTTTCCTCTCCGTTTAGAGCCTCTAGACCACTCGAACCTAAGGGGCTTGGCTCAACTACAGGGCGTCTCTGGGACTCGGACCTCGGCTCTAGTGTGTGCGGCGTTTGCCTAATGCTAAGCTAGTGTGCAAGTATGCTTGTTGTATAGTGTTTGTGGCCTGTGTGGGAGAAGGCGGAGGCGCGTTGGTGATTTCGTCGTCGGGGAACTTTAAGATGAGTTTAGGCCGACGGAATCGGAGGGACAAAATTTTCGTGCCCCAAATGTTGACACACCGTGTGAGTTATGTCGTGTCCTCCGCGGACATGTGTCCGCGGAGGACACGACTGCGCAGTCCCTCGTCTGCGCAGGCCATTATTCGTATGCCGATTTTAACACCAATTTTAATTTAAATTCGATTCTGAATGTTTAAATGGACACGCGACAGGCTTTTATTTATGCAATCGCCATTCCGACTTGAAATTAGGTAGGTATGCCTAATTGTGTAACGTAAGCCTGACTGAATTGTTTCTGTTTTGAGAATAACTAACTAATTGGTAAGCAAGGAAGCTATGTTTATTTAGTGCTCTAATTAACTTTCGACGGCTGTGTTTTGATTATCTTAGAGTTTAGTGAAGTAATAATTAACTGTACGCAAATTATTGTGGTGAAACTAAGCGTAGAGGGCTAATAGTATATTGTTAGTTTTTTTGGTATTTCTGAAATCGATTTTAATTGCTTTAAGATTTAGAAATTAACCATTTACTCTATCTCATTTGGTTTCTCATGTGTATAGCAAGATATCTATTTGACTTGGGTTGGAAAGTTATGTTAAACAAAATTATCTTCAAGCCAGAATTGAAACAGGCAGTCCTTAGAATTGCGTTTATAGAACATGACCCTATAAGGGTGTTTCAAAATACGAATTCATCATCATCATCACATGCAAAGTTGAATTAGATTTTTTTTTTATTTGACTGTATACTTACTATATTTACCGTGAGAGGACAGTACATTTATTTTAGTTATTTATGAAGGAGTGTCATATAAGTAGGTACCATTTCTTTTTCAGAAAGCTCATTTAAATACTCTTGTACCGACACCGTCTTCGGCTGTGAAGGAAAAACGCCGAAAAACAGTCGTGCCTTTTACCAAACAATCAGAGGTAACGGCCAAACCCAGAGAAGAACTGGAAAATGAGAATAATACTATAGCTGTAATGCAATCAAGAAAACCAGAAGAATTTGATGATGCCATGGCTGTGGATAATACTATAGACTTAACTTTTGAATAAATGTATTTCTTAAATTCTTTACTAATTTTTCTTTATTAATAAACTTATTACCTACCCGCTGATTAAGTCTCTGATAGCCTATTCTTTAGAAGTTATTTACCAGATACACTAAACATTTTGGTTCCTCAGGTCTTTAGTGGAGAAATCTGGCATAGCAAGATGCAAATGTTATATGTGGCAGATCTGTCGGTATCTTTATCAGTAACTGGTTAAAGATCCAAGTATACACGATAAATCTATAGATATTGTAGAATTAATAAGGTCTTTGAAGAGCTCGTACTCAATGGCGAAGCGGTTAGCGCGTTCGGTCTGCGATTTTGGTAAATTAATCAATTTCATTAGATACTAAATTCCGATTTAATAATTAATTTTTAAGGTATCTAATACAAGTGTTTAACCTAATACTATGTGTAAGTAAGTAAGACGAAATAATATAAGGAACCCTTATTGTTTCGTCTTCCGTCTGTCCGTCCCCGGTTTTGCTTGGAGACTATTTGCACTAGAGAGCTGTAATTTTATGGAGATATGAATATCAATAACGCCAACAAATTGAAAGAATTAAATTTTGAAAAAGAAAGAATTGTATAGTGTATCTACCTGGGAATATTTTTTTTTTGTCATCACCTACCCCATCGTGTGGGTTAAATAGGTCCTTTAACATTATTTTCCTAAGACTATTTTTCAATTTTGGTACCCTTTTGCGCAATATTGAACTTTAAAGTGCTCATTTTTGTGCGAGTAGGGCGTCTCCCCCCCTCTAAAAGCTAAACTATTAGCTTGAAAAACCTGGAAAAAATTATGATAATAGTATTTTTCATGATTTTTTAAGGAAAACTTATTGTATTTGTAATTTTTAAGTATTTAATTGCGAGATGTTTAAATCTAAAGAAAAAAACTGCTGTCTTCCAGCTTATGAAATACTAGAGAAAATTCGACACGACCGCGGTAGCATAATAGTCAGTGCATTCGCCCGGATAGCGAAGGGTGCGGGTTTAAGTCGTGGTCCGCGTGGATTTTTTTTGGTAAATTTTTCTTCAAAACTATAACGGTTAAGATAGATTTGTTAGTTTAAGAGAAATAGTAGTTCAATTTGGTAAAAGAAGTTTCTTACCTATTGAAAATTCCTTAGAAGAAAACATTAATAGTGACATAGATGAAGTTATTGTAGCGTAAAACCTTGCATTGCAACAAAATCTAAAAAATATATCTTTAAACCACAATAAAATATCATTAGTTCCACAATGCTACCGCGAGTACCAATGGCAACGGCTTCTGATCCGCGCTAACGTTATACGATCTTGAAAAATTCGGCGGTTATAACGCATCATCCCGTTCTCAGGGGATGATCGCTACAGATGAAACTTAGTCAGTAAGAGTCTGACATAACCTTGCAGCCGGCTGTAGGGTATCCATGAAGATTTCACATCCGCCCCCCGCCTGGGAGGAAACAAAAAAACCGCGGTTAACAGTCTAATTAAAAAATAATAATAATATCGAATTAATATCGAGTTTGAGACGCAGTTTGACTTTGATTTACGTATTTTAGTTAGATACATACTCGTATATTTATATTCATTGGTTTTTCTAATTTCCGATATATGTAGAATATAAGAATCCTGCTGAAATATGTTGTGGTAATTTCCGATTAAGAATATAAAGACTCCTGCTGAAATATATTGTGGTAACCACAGACAACTATGGAACCCTATACTGCGCGTGACATGACACGCACTTGGCCAGTTTTTATGTTAAAAGGATGGCAAACAAGCAATGGCCCGCGCGATGGCAAGCGGGCACCATAACCTATGACGCTTGTGATCAAAAATATCACTCGCATCGTTGCCTACTCTGACCCAATCCCAACCCCGTGGAGCCCTGGAACCTTGCTCAGCATCAGAAAGACAACACTACCAAAAGGTAGCGTAATTTTTCGTGTGGTCTTCGGTAAGATGGAGATCAGTTCCCCAGATAGGCGCTCCAGATGAGAGGGAAATCCGCTATTAAAATTCCTCTCTTAAAATGATGAGAAAATTGTGTCCCTGATCTTGCCGGCCTGTTCCCAAGGATTCGTACACCGTGGAGCCCTGGATTCTTACTTACTAACAAAACACTACGCATCACACTAGGTACGCAGTGGCGGCGCTAGGCGTCGGCGACGTCGGCCACCGCCGACGGCCTCGCGCCTGAGGGGGCCTCGCAAAAATTTTTTACAAGCTACCTATTTATTTTCGTTTCGCCTGGCCTGGCTTAGGTAGCCGACCCCGAACAATTGGGGGGAAAAGCTAAGCAGATGATAATGACTTTTATTATTTTCGAACACGTGCGTGATGGAAGCGAGTAGTACTTTACGGGTATTCAGAATCGTCTGTCTGGCAACACTATTTTTGTAATTAAATTTCTATGTTTGTCATTATTTTTTGTCATCATTTGATTATCAACAATAAAACTCGTTTACTCATACGTTATTTTATAATTTGGCTCAATTAATTTAACGGTTTTTTACTGCGAAGTAAAATAGGCCTCGCGAACTTGATGTCGCCGACGTCCACATGTGGTCTAGCGCCGCCACTGCTAGGTAGTGTTATTTTACTGTAAATTGCTGTGAGGTGGCGATTCTTAAGAACTCGCTATGCTCTCTTCTCTCCGGCATGGTGAGTAGTCCGTTTGCGACTATGCGTTCTAACTAACCATATGGGAAAGCCTGTGCATAGTCATACATACGGTGCCCCAATAGTCGGGGAAAATATTGTGTTGTTATGTCTATACCAAGAATAACGTATTAATGTTAATAAAAAATAGGTATATTGTTTTCGCTGCTTTATTCCATTGTTCCCCTTTGATGCACTGTACACCCCGGTGCAGTGCATCAAAGGGGTGAGATGCTTAACAGTGAAATAGAAAAATATACTTGGGTCACATTAAAAATATTTTCGGCATTTTTGCAAATCCCGATGGCTGTTTATTCATATTGTCTTTGAAAGATGAGACGGAATCCCTACTTAGCAAATGCCACTCGTTTTCAGTAATTGTAATTTATTATTTTTGGTTAAATAAGACATTAAGCTCTATATGATTAATGTTAGGAATTTAAAAAGAAGCGTGGCAATGCAGTGTTCTGGTTGGGCGCGATGTAAGGAGCGTCGCCAAAAAACTCGTTATAACGAAACACAATTACTACGGAACAGAGAAATCATTAGAGACGCCTCAGCAGTAAAATAATTTGTTCACCAATCCCTTATTGACACACTAATTTCATATTCTAAAGAATTTAGAATTTTTATAATGGATCAAATAACGGAGCATTTACATTTGTATGCAGTATTTCGTGGCTTTGATTCCTGGGTCATGCCTGGGTCGAATATGGCCACCTTAAAGTTTGTTATCCTTCTTTTGGAACAATAAGTTGAAACAAATAAGTTTAAGCAATTATTCATGAAGTGTGGCTATTGTCTTTTTAAAAAAGGCAGAAAATACAAAGACGTTATAACCATAAATAGTATTCTGGGAGGGCGACATTCAGTACAAATAACAAGTAATTTAATTTTGAAGTTATCAAAATAAAATTTTGACTGAAGTTTGTAAAGTTAGGCCTTGTAGAGTTAGTGTTAGTGTGTGAAACTTAAAAGAAGCCTTATTATTATGACCTAAGGTTCACTTTATCTCTATAGTGACCTACTCTAATTCATCAAAATCAGTTAATCATTTTAGAACTGAATAGGCAAATAACTTTAAAACTTATACGAAAAACGATCTTCAAAAATATTAGTTAAATTTTGAGCAATGCGTTTCCAAACCTTTCTCTGTGCGTGCTAGTTAATTACTCCTATAACGACAGTTAGAACGTAATGAGATTTTTGCAATTCAACAGTAGCACATTACAGGGTGCTGTTTGTCACCCCTTCCGGTGACCCACCCCCCGCAGACCGCAACGGGAGGTTATTAGGAGGCTTTGTTAATGAATTTCATGTAGGCTGTACAGGTAGTAGTACCCATGCCCACATGTGAAGAATGTTGCAATTTAGGCCCCCGCTAGTGGATTGTCCGATAACATTAAAGAAAACTTAATGAAAATGTTTTTGAAGAAGCTGTGAAGCTGAAATAATTAGGGCGTCGTTATGACCGTTAAGCATATTATCGCTTCAGAGAGAACTTTTTTCAAAAAAAGCATTGCACCATCTCTTTCCAATCTCTTTACATAACTAAACACAAATTGAGTACTGTTTGTACTTGAATCATAACATCAAATAACATAACATCACACACCATAACATCTTACTTACACATGTTGTTACAAATAAAAGTTTTCTTTCTTTCTTGAGGTGTTCCATTGTTTTCTCCGAAAGTAGATAAAGTCCAGAACTTCGTTTTGCATATTGGTACTTGGAAGCACACATCAAATACATTATGCTCGACTACAGACCAGTTTATGATAATGCGGAGTAAATCAGCTAAACGGTACATCTGTACGGAGCGGAACACACTACTATTTAGCTAGTAGCCAAAGCTTAATCGTCCCCGATTCTCGAGGCTCTATCCTCCAGCCGAAGACTTACCATCAATTAGGAAGCTCTAATTATCAGCCGGTCCTGCAGCTGATGAATATGCACGAACTTCGCTCGCTACAAGCCACACTTGGTATAATCTAGCTGTTTTGCGATTAACATACAAGTCGGGCTTCAATTATACATTATTATGTATTTTTTAAGTTCAAATAGATGATTCACCTATTTTTGTTTTAAGACAAACAGTGCACTAGGAAGTCAAAGTGGCTCGCTTTTAATAGAAGGAATGAGATTACAAACTTTGAACGTTACTTAAAAAGAAAAAGAACAAGTGCGAGTCGGGCTCGACAACCGAGGGTTCATGTTGTACTTCCTGCCTTCCTGGGGTAAAAAATCAATATTTTGTACTATTATTGACCACTGTTTTGAAAATGTTTACCAACTTGATCTAGGAGATACGATAGTTGTGCTGAGAAGAATACTTGCTAGCACGACCACTCAGAAACCCGTGTTAT